TGTCATTGTTGTTTTGGAGGGTCCGGGCTGGGGATTTGAACCCGCCACCTTAGGTGTACATGGCTGACGCCTTAGCCGGTCGAGCTATAGGCGCTGAGCCAGTATTAAATGTTTTTTACCTCAATCTCTACTCAACTCAGTCTTTTTTCATAAGTCACAGGGAAGGTATAGTTTCTCTTTTCTCTCTTTGGCATTTTAATAACTATATGAACGATGTGTTAGTAAATGCCTATGAGAAATAAATGGTAATTATATAGTGTTTCTCAAGCATTGAGACTCCAAATGGAAAAACTAATCTGAAATTGGAATACTGCCCAAGCTAACAAGGATGCCATGAAAAATAATATAGCCTAAAAAGCAATTTCATCAATTTTAGTGGCCTTTGTAATACAGTGGAAAGAGAATTTTTAAAAGGATGTTGAGTGGGACCCAAGAAATCATTCAGTGACTCAATGCTTTCATGTTACCCTACCCACGTTTCCTCACACACTGCTCCAAGTAAAGCAGCAGCAAAGACATTTGCTAACTTTTAAGATTATGCTTGGTCTACTATTGTTACAAGTGCCGGTATGGAGTTTATTACCTGTTCTCAAGTTCAGAGATATCTGTCTGCAGCTTAAGGTACCACTTCTCAGCTTGTGCAAATAGCTGCCGCAGAAGCAACACATTGGTGTGGGCAGTATTGATGAGCTCAGACTCCACCTCACTGTGAACCACAGCCTGCAAACCATTCAGGACTTCAGAGACTTCGTCTATGGTGAAGGTCTCCTCCACCAGCCTAGAAGATCAACAATGAATAGCATGACTCCAAACTTCTGGATAAACAACAAAAACAATTCACAAAATACAACAAAATTAAGAGACCCACATTCATGTCATCTAAGGGATTAAAAGATTAGATTGAAAAATCTCTCTGGGGACTATCTTCTTTATTAATAAAACAGACTGAAAATAGTTTAAACTCAATTTTTGATATTTATTCAAATGATTAAATTGTGGCTAATTCTTCAAATGTACATATCCTTTAAAATTATTATTTTAGTCATTGAGCTTTTTTTTCTTTTTTGTCTGGGGCTGAGTTTGAACCTTCCACCTCTGGCATATGGGGCC